GGGAGTGAGGGAGGAGAGAGAGGGGGAGGGGGGAGAGGGAGGGAGAGGGAGGGGGAGAGAGAGCTCAAATTCAAAATTTTAATTTGTGTAGTCAACATTAGAAGAAAAAAGTTTTTTATGATTGCATGTTCGGAAAAGCTTCATTTTCGAAATACAGGGTGTCGAATCTGAAAATATCTCTTAAGATCTCTTAGAATGCCAAAATTTGACTAATTGTAACTGTAGTTATTAAAGGCAAAAATCCACTGAATTGGTATGTCAACCAGTGACAAAGAAATTGGGAGTCACAATGACTAAAAACCCTAGAAATTCACTGTTGATAGTATTTTATTATTTTAACTTACATTACCATTACCGAGAACCTGAATAGTTCTAGTGTCTTTAGTATTACTCGTTCCACAAGAAAAGTTGATAGGATTTCTTTTTTTTTTTTAAATGCAATTTTAAATACAGTGTAATCATGAGAGATCCAAAAAATTCAATGATTTTTGCTTGAATATCTTGTTTTTTTCTTAGATGTTGCAAGAGTACAAATACAATATTTCTAAGTTAATAACTTTTTTAGATTTTACATAGATACATTTTAGATGATTACATTGTGATTAAAATCTAACTATAAACATTTGATAAACGAAAATAGTAAGTTAAAAGTAAGTATGAACTCAAAAACTGTCAGTTGTTTTTAGAAGTATGTACCTCTAGTCTAGGAGCTATTAGTAATTTCTGATGTCTCAAGTCACTGGTTGACATGTTTATATCTAAATTTAGCAAATTTTACATTTAATTAGATAAATAATTTGCCCAGGTTTCTTCACTCTATGTCAAACATCTTAAGAGATGGGTCAAACATGAAATTTTTTTAGACAATTTAACCACTATGTCGAAAACGAAGCATTTCTGGTTATCCTATATAGAATTTTTTTTCGTATTATGACCATTTGAATTCAAATTTTAAGTTTAAATCAATTTTAAACAACCCCAATAAATTTAGAAGGTATTATGCTAACTCAAATCAATTTTAAAAATTTGATGAAATCTGTTTTTTGACACCAACATCTAGGTATACTAAAAAACAACTACCCTGTGGACTAACGCTCTGTACAGTATTTAATTACACCCGCAATACCTAGCAAACATATTATCTTTACCCACATTAATTCATAATTATCTTTAAAAAATAATTAATTCAAATATTATTAATGGAGAAAAAAAACACCTGACGTATTGAAATAATTAAATAACGAAATTTTTCAAAGAAAATTTCTGTTTTCTTGTTTCTAACATCACCTATTTGGCAAAGATAAATTTAGACTTATTAATTTCTAAACGTGAAAAATTAAAAAAGTTCTTAATTCAAAAGACGACATGAATAATACAGGGTGTCCCGAAATTCATGCAACAAAATTTGCAAATTTTTCTTTCTTAAGACAAATTTAGGGGACCCATTGCGTTTTAGGAAACAAATATCAAGAGACAAAAAAAGTTTCTAAATTCAATGGCTTTCTAGCTAACTAATAATTAAAAAAAAATCAAATTTGCGAACAAATCTTTCTGGTTCCAAAGACAAGGGGGCCCACAAAAAAGTGTCTTAAGGGGGTTTCTCGCCAAAAAGCGTAGCACTGTGAGAATCCACGTGTCGTAAAACCCCTGTGTACCAAATTTAGTGACTCTCGTACAACATGGTTTTGAGATATAAAAAAGACTTCTAAGGAGCAGATTTCAGGGGGCTGTAACTCCGAAAGTGGGGGCCAGTTGGCAAAAAGAAAAAATACGGGTCCCCTAAATTTGTCTTAAGAATCTATGACAAAATTTTGTTGCATGAATTTCGGGACACCCTGGATAATAATGTCCGTTTGCATTGAAACAAATCAAGGACGATGTCATAGATTCAACAAGGGTGGTCACCCTGTATATACAAATCATTAAGAACAGAATGGGCAGTTAAAAATAAAAATTGAGAGAAAAACCTCCGAGTTTTCCCAAAATATAATTCTGAAAGTTTTATGGAATTTATGCATTGTTTTACGGATACATTGTACAGGTTGTTACAAATTACTAGGTTCACCCGTTAACTACATACTCTTTGGATTAAAATAATGGGACTTTTCTTATGTCACTTTTCATTTCGGATCTTAATTTTAAAAACACAGGATATCAAAATTAAAATTAAAAAATGATTTTTAATGATAACTCCGGTGATTGTAGAGATATTTATTTGAAATATAGCACATATTTTGATCTTAAGCCGGCACACTTTTCGTGTAAATTTGGTTTAAAATATCAAAGCGCGAACGGAGGGGATAGGGTTGTATTTTCTTTTGAGTACGCCTATGCTTTCCGAATGTTTTTTTAGATAAAGCGGCGTTTCATTCGATTTTTTTTCGCTCTTGTAAGATTTTGATTTGGCGACTCGTTTACAAGGGTATTGTAACTCTTTTGGATACGCGACACCGAAAAAAGTGACATAAGAAAAGTCCCATTATTGTAGTCCAAAGAATACTACTAATTTGTAACACTTTGTGTAATTATATGAAAATTTAATGAGAGGAAGTGACGATTTCAATTATTGGCGTTTCGGACAAGTTTTGGATTAAAATAAAAATACAATTTCTTCCAATACCATTAAATAAAAAAATTATCCCCGATTGACCCAGAATTCAGAAGTTTAACCATTTTTTTCAGCCCCGTTAATATTCCTTCGCATGAAATCCCCTAATCTGATCCACGAATATAATAACACAGTTAAAAATATCCTCGGATAACATCTAACGGCTAAAAAACCCTTTACCTTTATAAAAATTATTCACAGCTCCCGTCGTACTTATCGAGCTCTGCGTCTGATGTGAGACGCTCGAGTTGAAGCCGAAATCCCTGGACACGGTGATGTGCAGCTTATCCTTGGTGCTATCTATGATCTTTTTCGCCTCTTTCAGCGACATCACGTCGTTGCAGTTCGTGTTGTTCAATTTCGTTAAGAAATCGCCCACCTCCAGGACTTGGTTCGTGTTTATCAGCTGATCTCTGGCCTTGGAGGAGATCTCCTTGATGAATAGCTTACAGCCGAGCACGATGCCGAAGTCTGCAAGGCGATTTGGGGGAGTTTTTTTTTATTAAAGATCAACATTGTGGCGTGGCAAATTTTAAATGATTTTATATGAAAAAAAACGCTACAGTATAAGAAATGTTCCTGGTTTAAAAGATAAGCTTTGATGAATTATATTTAATATTTATTACCCAAATATTCCTTTCAGAAGTTTAAAAAAAAGTTTTATAATAAATTTAATTGACAGTTTTTTGCAAATGACAGTTTAATTATAGAGGGTGCCCCAAAAAGACACGAACCTCCCGACAATTTTTCAGAATTGAGTCCTTACACTAGGAAATATGGAGTTGGACGCGACTTTTTGTTTCGGCAAGCTGAATTTATCACTATAGATGCTAAATATTATGTACAATAACATATTAGTTTACACAGTCATAAAAATGGGGGGAAGATTGTTTACAGGCTGGCTAATTGTATAATTTTTACGTAAATTCACGTTTTTCGCTTATAACTTTTTTCCGTTCATATTCACGAGAAAACAGTAAAGTACATTTTTTTCATCTTCAAAAGACCTACAAAACTAGCCCTCGAGCGTAAAAAAATATTGATTAGATCAAAAGTTATAAACAGAAGAAATTTATTAATGACTTTTGAATTAAACATTTATAAGCTGCGGTATTATTACCAGACGTTTTGGCATCGTACCCTCTCATTCCTTATCTCTGACTAATAACTCACACGAAATCTGGAATCTCTAAGTTGAATAGTTTACAAGTTTTGGCCTTATAAACAAATTAACTGATTATTAGTCTGGACGATCCCGAGTTTCTTCCACAATCGCACTGATTTTTTTCATGGTAGATTTCATAATAATACATTGAAATCTATCACTTTTTTTAAATTTCAAATTTGCAACCTGGAAAGTTTTTTTATTTTTTAACCTTAGTTGCAAAATGAAATATACGACGCACGCGCGTGATATAGTTATATATTATTACATATTCGGAAAGCTTATGAGAAGAGCTTTAAGTTAAAAAAAAATCGTCAAGATTCGTTGAAAAACAACGGAGTTACAGACTGTNTAGAGAGCGGACAATGTGTGTCTTTAACCCGAAGAATAGGTCAAATTTTGGTAGAGATGTGTACGCGTTCAAAAATGTATTGTGTATAAACTATGCAAAATATAATTATTATGTATAGCAAATATATCGTATTATCCTCGCGAAGATTTGTACCCTTTATTTAAAATCCATAAATCATGTGAACAGGTTAAATAACGAGAAAATAATTAAGTTAATTTAGTTCTAAAGAAATGAAATGACACTCGCGCCCATCTCTAGTCCATCCGTCGACATCGGTTGCGTTTATCGAATTCCTATTGGTCAGAATTCAAACTGCAGCCCTGTTATGAATGGAGCGTGAGTTGGACTATTCTATCATGTGCGTCGCCTGAGGTTATTCGTTACATTGACTCCTAATTTCCAATTAAAAGAACGACACTATTTTTAACCGAACTTTATTTAATAAATATGTAGTATACAATTTCTGATTTTCTAAATATTTTATAACGCCTAAAAATGTATGTACCGTGGAATTTTCGTGAATTATCACGTAAATTTCCGTTGCATACCCGACACGCCACTGCGTCATGGATAATGTATCTAGATTTATGAATGACATATCTATGTTCAAGGTTAAAGACACAAATTGTCCGCTCTCTGCTAATTATTAGTCTGGACGATCCCGAGGATCTTCCACAATCGCACGCACTGATTTTTTTCATGGTAGATTTCATAATAATACATTGAAATCTTATAATTTTTTTTTGTACTTTCAAATTTGCAAATTGGATTTTTCTTTTATTTTTTAACCTTAGTTGCAAAACGAAATATACGACGCACGAGCGTGATATAGTGATACAGGGTGTAACATAAAGGTTGGGAATAAATTAAACAGTGGATTTTTTATTTTAAAAAATAAATATTTGTCATATAAAATTATGCTCAACGGGTTTTCTTTTCCAAGCTACAGGGTGCTAAAAAATTTCAAAAAATTTAGTTTTTTAATATCATTTTCAATGCAAAAATCTTTTTTCAATGCCTATTTGACCATGTTCGGTGGCTGAGTCAAAGCGTACTTCATAATGCTTTTGTTATTTTTATATTCCTCTGTTAGCAGTGGGATAAAATGGTATTTACAAAAGTTTTATTTACGGAAAAATTACAAGAGCTAGAAATAAAACGCAAGAGGGTAATTTTGTTTAAAATAAAA